CAAGAGGTTTGAATTATGATCGATTATATCGATCAAGCCAGGGTGGAGGTTGAGAAGATTGGGAATCTGCCAAGATAGTAATTGCGTACCGTAATTTGTTCTGGTTCTGATTTTTATAAAGTTTGTATTTCTAAAATTGTAGTGTGTATCAGTATTCGTATATGTAGAAAGGAATAATTCACGGTCAGTTTTAACTTGGGAGAATATAACCTCAGACAATCGTTGATTATACAGTGCCTCAATATTCAGGATACGATGTTTCTCAAAGTATTGGAATGTATGATCGCGGCTTGATAGGTTTTCAATAAATCGTATACTTTTTTCTGCATTAAGTACAAACTAGTCATATTACATTTAGATGTAACCCCCCAGACAAGTAAACAATAGTGCAGTCGAGAATGAACAGTAGTGAAATAGAGCTGACGTTTTAGCCACATTGGTAATAAGGCACGAAATCTATTCAGCATGCCAATAGACTGTGCGATGTCACGCTTCACAAAATTCACATGACATGTCCAGCGAAGGTTTTCATGAAAATGTATGCCTAAGAATTTGTATTCGGTAACCCTTTCTAGTGACCGTGACTGGAATACTATTTCGGTAGTAAGGTTAACTGGTCTGTTAATTGAGGAAAAAACAATATATTTTGTTTTGTTAACATTTAGAAGCAGCTGATTCGCATCAAGCCACTTCGATAAGTTTTTGAGCCATGCGTTTGTGACAGGAATAAGAGATGATAGGTCCCTGGATGAAAAAAAAACACTCGTGTCATCGGCGTAAAGTACTATGTCTGGCGTATGGGGGATAGCAACAATGTCATTGATATAAAGAAGGAATAGTATAGGTCCTAATATTGATCCTTGCGGAACACCAAATTTTATATGTTCAGTGTCCGATTCTATACTATTAGCTACCACAAACTGGCTACGATTTGTCAGATAACTGCGCAATAGTTTAAGTGAAATGCCTCTAATTCCGTAGTGTGGCAGTTTATCAAAGAGAATATTATGCTTGATAGAGTCAAAAGCTTTATTGAAATCTACGAAGATGCCTATAGTGTAGGATTGATTTTCTATATTGCTGATAAGTTTTCCTCGAATGTTAAGTAAAGCTGACTCAGTGGATTTACCTCTCTGAAATCCATATTGGTTTGCAGAAATTAGTCGGTATTTATGAAGATGATTAATTATTCTAGATGTCTACAAAAAGCTCTGTAGGGTTGTGTGGAGGCCCTCTTGCAGCACAGATGTGTATTTGTCCTCACCGTCTCTGGAAAAGACGACCATAACAGAGAATGAACGTCCCTCGGAGACAAAAGGCAGACTTTTTGTATTCCGCAGTAACCATGCCTGCGTTCAAATTTTGGCCGTCAAGGGAAAAGGGACGTAGCTTGAGGGTTCAAACTGAACAGATAGCAACCTAGAAGGTTACTCGTGCTTCACTTTAGCTCATCTTGCGCCAGAAAGTGCAGAAGGGGACAAAATAGAAAGTGTCGGGCCAGTTGTACTGTAGGGGCATGTCTACAAAAAGCTCTGTAGGGTTGTGTGGAGGCCCTCTTGCAGCACATATGTGTATTTGTCCTCACCGTCTCTGGAAAAGACGACCATAACACAGAATGAACGTCCCTCGGAGACAAAAGGCAGACTTTTGGTATCCCGCAGTAACCATGCCTGCGTTCAAATTTTGGCCGTCAAGGGAAAAGGGACGTAGCTTGAGGGTTCAAACTGCTCAGATAGCAACCTAGAAGGTTACGCATGCTTCAGTCGAGCTCATCCTGCACCAGAAAAAGCACAAGGGGGGAATATAGGAGTGTGGGAGCGGTTGTACTGTGGCGGCATGTCTAGAAAAAGCTCAAAAGTGATTTGTGGAGTCCCTCTTGCGGCGCAGACCTGTATTTGTCCTCACCGTCTCTGGGAAAGACCACCCTAACAAAAGAATGGACGTGAAACTGAGGCAAAGGGCGTAGTTTTGCTTCGAGGTAGAAACAGCGCCTGCGTTCAGATGTTGGCCGTCAAGTGAAAACGGACTTAGCTTGAGGGTTCAAACTGAACAGGTAGCAAGCTAGAAGGTTACTCATGCTTCAGTCGAGCTCATCTTGCACCAGAAAAAGCACAAGGGGGGAAAATGAAGAGTGTGGGGCCAGTTGTACTCTAGGGGCATGTATACAAAAAGCTCTGCAGGAACAAACCTTTTCCCGAGGTGGACAGCAGGGGCCTGAAGACATAAATAAAAAAGAAGTGACACATTTAACGAGTCTTCACTGCGCCAGAAAAACAAGAATCAGCTCATTTCTTTTTGAGACCTCAGTCTTTATTAGGCCAAGAATACAATTTTTCAGACGAGCTGTCTCAATGTAAAAACACACTTCCTTATTAGTACCCTTTTGACACACAAACAGTCCTACCTGGTGCGAGACCTTTCCCCAACAATTTGATAGTTGTACGTACCTATAATGGTTTTCTAATTACGAGCGAGCGGCAGCTCTTTGAAGTCTTGCTCGCGCTCTGGTGAGCCTTCAAACGACCAGCCGCTCCGCCGAGCGCGCGCCGCACGAGATGAATGAATTAAAATAATCTCGCGCGCATAGCGAACGTTCCTTTTACCCGAGGGAGCGCTTCAGAAGAAAAAAGCAAATTGTGGTAGCAAATGATGAAGCGGTGAGCAATATCGAACCTGAAAATGACTGCTTTCGTGCGGGAAGTCGCATCAGTGCTCCTACAGTAAACTATCGACTCGATCCGAGGCAAACTACAGTCGTCGGGTCTTCTACGGAACGCGTGCTCACGTTTGACACCAACATCGCGGCTCGGAAACGAAAATTCAGCCTCGGAGGTCCGAACACAGGTTCGGAAATTAGAATTGGCCGCCATGACCATGCCCACGGTAAAAGCGTCGTAGCTTCGCGAAAGCTTTTATTTCACTCGTTCAAAGTGGTGTCCATAGAGTCTAGACAGAACAAGGAACACATCGGTGCTAGCGGCGATGAGATACGACCAGTATTAATGAAGGAAGTGTCTATTCTGCCGGCAGCCGGCAGAATAACCGGGGGGGGGGGGGGGGAACAAGTGCCGGCAGTAGTCGCCTATTGGGTCTCGTATAAAACGGATTGTAAACACGCCTATTCCCAGCTGTGGATTAGCTCAGTGGGTAAGATGTGCGCTTCGTACACAGCAGGATCTTAGTTCAATCCCCCGAGAGAATTTTTTTTTTTTTTTTTCTTCGGACTTTTGTTTTTTGTTGAGGTATTGGGCGATATTTACGGCATCTCTCTTTTAGAATTAACACTACAAAAAAAACACGTAAAAAAAAAAAAAAAAACAGAAAAAACACCAGAAATCAGCCGAGTTCTCCGAGCGGTTTTAATAGGTCGATAAAACAACTTTTGCGTTTGCTATCTCGAAGAAATTTGACACACAAACAGTCCTACCTGGTGCGAGACCCTTCCCCAACAATTTGATAGTTGTACCTATAATTGTTTTCTAATTACGAGCGGGGGCGGCAGCTCTTTGAAGAATATCAATCCACTCGTGCTCGGGAGACCGTCCCTGTTGATCGAAAAGTCTCGATTGAGATGAGCTGACACGGTTTCACTGCACACACATTTTCCTACGATGTTGTTTTCACGACCACGATCGATGAATGCACTCCAGCGGTCTTGAATATTCACGGGTGAACGATTGAACTTGGTCGGGGTTTTTAATCTCCAAGCAGAGTCCCAAAAACCTGTTTTCGCGAGTATAACGAGTTCTAGACGAGCTGGAGCGATGAAAATTTAACAGTGCGTCTAAATTCAGAGCGCGATCATTCGCTGCGAATTAGAACCTTCCAACTATCGTAGTTTTCTTTATACGAGGATATGCCAAATCACAACACCACAGAATGAAGCCTTACACGTAAACTTTTTAATCAACACTTTCTTATTAGATTAGCTACATCGATGAGACGCGCCTATAATGTTCCTCGGAACATCCCACTCGCCTGGTTAAAATAAATGACCCAGCTAGCACTTGTGGATTGATATACTTGAATACAAAGTACAGAGATACAAAAAAAGAAGAGAAAACGCAAGTTCAAAGGCTGTATAGATAATACAACGCCGCTGACAGCGTCTTGCAATAAGCGCAACAGAGAACATTAAAAGAATGTATGTGCTCGCTTTTGGGCGAGCACACACATAAAAAAACACATTTCTTTTTTTTTTTTTCACGATTACCATTGGAAACAATCAAATTTCTGAATAACACTGATAAGGTACTTACTTCGTTTCCGCAGGTGTGCACAGCAGGGGCCTCTTTGTCCGTTTAACCTCAGATTGTTATATTATATTAAAAACGCAACACCAGGTAATCCGTAAAATGGGAGAGCGGAACAGGGGAAAATTGTAATGTAATAGCTCACAACAAAGTTGGGAGGAGTGGAAGTAGTGGGCAAGAGGAAAATTAAAACACCATGCAAAGGGTTACACATCAAACAAACGCTCCATCGACTGCAAAACATTGTCAGATACAAATCTGCGATGAGGTAGGCTGTTTCATTCTGTTATGGTTCTGGGAAAAGAGTATTTAAATGCATTTGTAAGCAGATCAAGACCCTATGGCGTCGGGAAGTATTTAAATTCTTTTTTTTTTATATTTGGTTTTTATTCATTTACACTGCAGGCCATTTCCAATCCCCAAGCAGGGTGCGACGAGAAGGAACAAAAAAATAACAGTAAACCGACAAATCTGGTACACTGGAGATCACAAAAAGAAAGAAGAAAAAACACAAGTTCAAAGGCTATGTATTGATATAACAGAACGCCGCTCATAGCGTCTTGCAATAAGCTCAAACATAAGAAAGAAGAATTTATGTCCTCGCGCTTTTTTTTTTTTTTTTTTTTTTTTCACGATTACCACGGGAAAAAATCAAATCTCTGAACAAACTGATAAGGGACTTACTTCGTTTCCGCAGGTGTGCACAGCAGGGTCTTCGTCCTCACCAGCAAAACACAAAACAACAGATTTCTCCGTTTTAACCTCACGTTTTATTAGGCTTGACGTCAAACTTTATTAGGCCGACAATGCAAGTTTCCGGACGAGCTGTCTCGATGAAAACACACTTGTTCCTATTCAGTGAATTCGCACGAGCTAACACGATTTCATAAAAACACTTTTTGCTTGGAGCAAGTTCTCAGTTGCCATTCAAGCGGTCTTGATTAAGCACAGGTCATCCGCAGCTGAAGGAGGTCACTTGAAACGGAGGGCCAGCCGTGCAACTCGCTCTTGCGCTGCACAAAAAGACAATCTTTAGCGCCCTACATTAAAGATGCACCGAACGTTCTTACGCCATACACATATCTTTTTTTCTTTTCTTCCGTGCGTCAGAGAGTGATGAAACGTTTGAGTTCGTAGAGGCCGGCTTCCTAGCTCCGCGCCGCCGCCGATTCCGTGTTTGATAAAAAAAAAACTGCTCCGACTTTACTCAACAAGATTAACAATTTAATCAAGCGTTTCGTCTCCCATCCGGGAAACATCGTCAGTGAAACCTACAAGCAGGAATGAGGGGAAAAAAACTCGATTCCGTGTTTCGCGTGAAAAGAACAAAAGAATTCGTGCAAGAAGTCGGCTCCAACGGTCGCCCATGCACGCTGTGCGGGTTCAGACATTGCCTTCTTTGCTTTAGCTCACTTCTCTTCACCAACTTTCTTTCGCGGCACATTTTTCACGTACCGGGGTCCCCCTCGAAAGAAAGCCCACCAGGAAAACCGAAGTAATCAAAACTTGGCCAAGCAGTCATTGAGTTAGAGAGGGATTTTTATAGCAGCGTATGATTTAAACAAGAGCAGGAATGTCGACGCGTTTCAGTTTAGAAATATCTGCAGCGACGTGGGGACGGCAACACACGACGTCGCACGAAGCTCAAAAAGTAACTCCCGCCGCGCAAAAACGTGGTTTTGTTTCACAGCATGACGGCATGTTTGGCATCCGATACACTAGAGACGAGATTTTTGAGACGACGAGTACACGAAACGCGAGACGTCGGGAAAAATCATGCAAGACCAAATAGACGATTGATACAGGGTACTTTGTGTCGGGTGGCGTCTTGTGCGACCTAGCTTACACAATTACGGTTCTCAGTTTAGTTTCGTTATTGAAAGGCGACCAAAATTGCTTCTTTGGCGCAGATTAGCCATATTTCGGTGAAATGTAGCAGGATGTAGCAAGGTTAGCCCCTTGGTGCAGTTTGGCGCAATTATCACATCACTGGTATTCCATCATTTCGCGATGGAATACGCGCTTCAAAATACACTTTATATCTTTGCCGAGCATGGACCTATCAAAAAAAGAACTTGCATCAAACACGCATAGGTAATTCTTGCTCGCGCTCTGGTAAAGAGCCTTCAAAAAAACGACCAGCCGCTCCGCCTATGTGCGCCTATATCAATATACCATTAAAAGCCTTCTTTGCCGACACTCGAAAAAGCGTGCAGAATCTCTCCGAGAAGAACATTTCCATCTACCAACCGCCGAGCACAACATAATCTCCTCGCAAAACGCACGCGCTCACACAAACAACGACTTTGGGCAAAGAACAAGGAAATGAGCAAATACCTTCTCGAGTTACGGTAATCCGACCTTCTTCCGTTCTCGGCTCCTTCTGAAAGTGAGCCCGGGCCCAGACAGAACACGCACAGCAACAGCCAGGCGCCGTTGAGGCGAGGGTTACTCATCCTTGCTCCGACAAAAACATCACGTGACCTGGAGTGAGAAAACACACAGAACCCAAACCGAAACCCTGGATCATGATGATGATACCTTCTCCAAACCCCTAACGGTCAAAACCCGCGCAAAAATGTCGACGCACGTCGTAACGGTACCATACAGGGTGCTATTACGTTCTGTGTCGACCTTTTTCAACTAGAGCCTACAATTACAACTCTTTAATTAAAACCGACCGAATCTAAAAACAAAAATATCTATTGTACCCTTTGTTGAAATGACAACACTTTTCTTTTCTATTCCAGAAATCCTCTCTCTGCCGCTAGTCCCTACCTCAGTCGCCCAACTTCACAAACGGCCGCCCAAATCCACGTCTGTGTGTGCGCTTCGTTGCGAGTCAAGAGAAGAGGGTGCGCGGGCGAGCTGGTGAATGTTAACAACGTTGAAATAGCCCGAGACTGGGGTAGAGAAGAAGCTTGAAATAGTAGAAGGGACAGAAAATGTCTATTTTCTGTCCCTTCTACGATTTGATGCTTCTACCCCAGTCTCGGGTGATTTCAAAACGGCCGTGCCCCGTCTCAACGTGGACGCTTCCGTGAACGTGTGTGTGTGTGTGCACTTTCCTGGTGAACTTTGGATTACTCTGGACTTTGGATAACATCTGGACCGCTAGACACCATGCAAGGAAAGGTATTTGAGAATGCTTCTATCTCTCTCTCTCGTGGTTTGAATAGGAGTCCGGACTATAAAGCGCTCGGCCGCGCTTCGAAATCTCTTCTTCGCGTAACAAATATTGATTAAAAAAAAAGTATTCGCTTTTAAAATTTCTCTTATTCCCAGCGTCATGTACACGCATTTCTTGCGTGGAACAACGAATGAATAACTGCTATGTGCGTTTAATTCGATCTAGAAATCCCGTCGCGCCCGTTTGTTTACTATCTGCCTTCCAGGTTAGACAACGTTCCTTCAAAAAATCCTAAAAAATCACCAATTCGTGCTAGAAGTGCGTGCCTCGGACGAGAGGTAGCGAACATTAAGAGCCTTAGTTTGCGATTAAATAAGCTTCTGCACGCGCCTAATTAATACTCAAAGTCGCGCTTTCCCACACGGCCAATGCATGAATTTCGCTCTAAACGTGCCTCCCCTGCTCCTTCAAAAAATCACAAAAAATCACCAATTCGTGCTACAAGTCCCTGCTTCGGGCGAGAGTTAGCGAACAATTAGCGCCTTATTTTACGATTAAATAAGCTTCTGCACGCGCCTAATTAATACTCAAAGTCGCGCTTTCCCACACGGCCAATGCATGAATTTCGCTCTAAACGTGCCTCCCCTGCTGCTTCAAAAAATCACAAAAAATCACCAATTCGTGCTACAAGTCCCTGCTTCGGGCGAGAGTTAGCGAACAATTAGCGCCTTATTTTACGATTAAATAAGCTTCTGCACGCGCCTAATTAATACTCAAAGTCGCGCTTTCCCACACGGCCAATGCATGAATTTCGCTCTAAACGTGCCTCCCCTGCTGCTTCAAAAAATCACAAAATATCACCAATTCGTGCTACAAGTCCCTGCTTCGGGCGAGAGTTAGCGAACAATTAGCGCCTTATTTTACGATTAAATAAGGTTCTGCACGCGCCTAATTAATACTCAAAGTCGCGCTTTCCCACACGGCCAATGCATGAATTTCGCTCTAAACGTGCCTCCCCTGCTGCTTCAAAAAATCACAAAATATCACCAATTCGTGCTACAAGTCCCTGCTTCGGGCGAGAGTTAGCGAACAATTAGCGCCTTATTTTACGATTAAATAAGCTTCTGCACGCGCCTAATTAATACTCAAAGTCGCGCTTTCCCACACGGCCAATGCATGAATTTCGCTCTAAACGTGCCTCCCCTGCTGCTTCAAAAAATCACAAAAAATCACCAATTCGTGCTACAAGTCCCTGCTTCGGGCGAGAGTTAGCGAACAATTAGCGCCTTATTTTACGATTAAATAAGCTTCTGTACGCGCCTAATTAATACTCAAAGTCGCGCTTTCCCACACGGCCAATGCATGAATTTCGCTCTAAACGTGCCTCCCCTGCTCCTTCAAAAAATCACAAAAAATCACCAATTCGTGCTACAAGTCCCTGCTTCGGGCGAGAGTTAGCGAACAATTAGCGCCTTATTTTACGATTAAATAAGCTTCTGCACGCGCCTAATTAATACTCAAAGTCGCGCTTTCCCACACGGCCAATGCATGAATTTCGCTCTAAACGTGCCTCCCCTGCTGCTTCAAAAAATCACAAAAAATCACCAATTCGTGCTACAAGTCCCTGCTTCGGGCGAGAGTTAGCGAACAATTAGCGCCTTATTTTACGATTAAATAAGCTTCTGTACGCGCCTAATTAATACTCAAAGTCGCGCTTTCCCACACGGCCAATGCATGAATTTCGCTCTAAACGTGCCTCCCCTGCTCCTTCAAAAAATCACAAAAAATCACCAATTCGTGCTACAAGTCCCTGCTTCGGGCGAGAGTTAGCGAACAATTAGCGCCTTATTTTACGATTAAATAAGCTTCTGCACGCGCCTAATTAATACTCAAAGTCGCGCTTTCCCACACGGCCAATGCATGAATTTCGCTCTAAACGTGCCTCCCCTGCTCCTTCAAAAAATCACAAAAAATCACCAATTCGTGCTACAAGTCCCTGCTTCGGGCGAGAGTTAGCGAACAATTAGCGCCTTATTTTACGATTAAATAAGCTTCTGCACGCGCCTAATTAATACTCAAAGTCGCGCTTTCCCACACGGCCAATGCATGAATTTCGCTCTAAACGTGCCTCCCCTGCTGCTTCAAAAAATCACAAAAAATCACCAATTCGTGCTACAAGTCCCTGCTTCGGGCGAGAGTTAGCGAACAATTAGCGCCTTATTTTACGATTAAATAAGCTTCTGCACGCGCCTAATTAATACTCAAAGTCGCGCTTTCCCACACGGCCAATGCATGAATTTCGCTCTAAACGTGCCTCCCCTGCTGCTTCAAAAAATCACAAAATATCACCAATTCGTGCTACAAGTCCCTGCTTCGGGCGAGAGTTAGCGAACAATTAGCGCCTTATTTTACGATTAAATAAGGTTCTGCACGCGCCTAATTAATACTCAAAGTCGCGCTTTCCCACACGGCCAATGCATGAATTTCGCTCTAAACGTGCCTCCCCTGCTGCTTCAAAAAATCACAAAATATCACCAATTCGTGCTACAAGTCCCTGCTTCGGGCGAGAGTTAGCGAACAATTAGCGCCTTATTTTACGATTAAATAAGCTTCTGCACGCGCCTAATTAATACTCAAAGTCGCGCTTTCCCACACGGCCAATGCATGAATTTCGCTCTAAACGTGCCTCCCCTGCTGCTTCAAAAAATCACAAAAAATCACCAATTCGTGCTACAAGTCCCTGCTTCGGGCGAGAGTTAGCGAACAATTAGCGCCTTATTTTACGATTAAATAAGCTTCTGTACGCGCCTAATTAATACTCAAAGTCGCGCTTTCCCACACGGCCAATGCATGAATTTCGCTCTAAACGTGCCTCCCCTGCTCCTTCAAAAAATCACAAAAAATCACCAATTCGTGCTACAAGTCCCTGCTTCGGACGAGAGGTAGGGAACAATTAGCGCCTTAGTTTGCGATTAAATCAGCTTCTGTACGCGCCTAATTAATACTCAAGGGCGCGCTTTCCCTCACGGCCAAGCAGTCATTGAGTTAGAGAGGGATTTTTATAGCAGCGTATGATTTAAACAAGAGCAGGAATGTCGACACGTTTCAGTTTAGAAAGCGCCATATCTGCAGCGACGTGGGGACGGCAACACACGACGTCGCACGGAGCAAATAACAGTCGCAGAAAAAATATACTTCGTTTCTGGAGCAGCAGTGGGGAGCTATTCTTTATTCGCATTTATAGACTGACACTTTGAGCACTCTGAAACTTAGCTCAAAAACCCAGTCAACTTTATTTCGGCAAATATTATCCCGGAGAAGCGAAATCTTGAATAAAAGCGCTTTTTTTCGTTCAGTCCGCGTCCAGAGGATCCCTGGCGCCGTCTCAGAATAAGGGGAAGAAACGAGGCAATCAAAAACTCGAATTAAAGGATAGTATAATGGACGTACACTTACCCCAATGTGTCGAACGAAAGGAGGCCCTTTGACGAAGGCAGGAACCGTGAGGCGACGTTCGGGGTCCGAAGAAGAAGAAGACCGATTTCGGAACAAAGAACAAAGCAGGAGCTGGACACGGGTGACTACGCGACTGCTCCGAAGCACAACCGAAACCACACTGGGGCCGGCCTCTCGGAACAAAGGAAAGCGGAGGAGGATGAGGGAGGAGGAGAGAGAAAGAAAGAAAGAGAAAGACAAAAGAACAAACGAGCAATTAGCGGGCCAAAGAAAGAAACGGGGGGGGGAGGGACAAACAAAGAGAAGGAAAAAAAAGTAACCGTTGCCACGGGTTACTAAGAAGCGTGTGCGCGCGCAACTTGGTAACGGCGGATGGATGGATAGATAAATACGGCTGAGCCCTTTGGATCCGGCGGTAGCTTACGCCACCTAGCCACAAAAACGTCGGGAAAGTGGATCGCGCCGCCTGGTGGAGGGCAGACACACCACTCGACTCGGCTAGTGTGTCTGCCCTCCGCCAGGAGGCACTCATTTTTATTTTGAACTATTTATTAAGGGAAGCATTCTCGTTGATCTCCCTTCATTAATACTGGTCGTATCTCATCACCGCTGGCACCGATGTGTTGCTTGTTCTTTCTAGACTCTATGGACACCACTTTGAACGTGTGAAATAAAAGCTTTCGCGAAGCTACGACGCTTTCACCGTGGGCATGGTCATGGCGGCCAATTCTAATTTCCGAACCTGTGTTCGGCCCTCCGAGGCTGAATTTTCGTTTCCGAGACGCGATGTTGGTGTCAAACGTGAGCACGCGTTCCGTAGAAGACCCGACGACTGTAGTTTACCTCGGATCGAGTCGATGGATTACTGTACGAGCACTGATGCGACTTCCCGCAGGAAAGCAGTCATTTTCGTGTTCGATATTGCTCACCGCTTCATCATTTGCTACCACAATTTGCTTTTTTGTTCTGAAGCGCTCCCTCGGGTAAAAGGAACGTTCGCTATGCGCGCGAGATTAATTTAATTCATTCATCTCGTGCGGCGCGCGCTCGGCGGAGCGGCTGGTCGTTTGAAGGCTCACCAGAGCGCGAGCAAGACCCGCGTCGAATACCGATATTTCATCCAACTGCTTCTTGATAGGTCTATGCTCGGCAAAGAAAGCTTTCACTATAAAGTGTATACTCTATAATTGAGCTCTAAAGCGCGTCCGCCGCGAAATGATGGAATACTGCCTCGGGAAAGGAGATGACAAGGTTCATTTTGAAATTGAGGTGTGCGATCAAACTATAATAGGGGGGAAAAAGGCATTCCACAATTCTGCGAGCCTGGCCTAAAAAATATATTTGGCGTGAGATCGTTTCGCGTATCTTTTTAAATGTAGGGCGCTAAAGATTGTTTTGTCTTTTGTGCAGCTCGAGCGAGTTGCACGGCTGGCCCTCCGTTTCAAGAAACCAATGGCCTCCTGATCCGAGTCTTCTTCAGCTGCGGATGACCGCTTCAATGGAAACACCGATTGTGACAACTCTCTGCGAGCAACATGTGTGTTCACCTGTGCTTCATCAAAGACCGCGGGATGGGAAACACCGATTGTGACAACTCTCTGCGAGCAACATATGTGTGAAATCGTGCTAGCTAGCTCCTAGGTAAAAAAAAAAGAACACTATACGAACTGTGAGATTTTCATGGCAGGGTACTAATAAGGAAGTGTGTTTTTACATTGAGACAGCTCGTCTGAAAAATTGTATTCTTGGCCTAATAAACTCTGAGGTCTCAAAAAGAAATGAGCTGATTCTTGTTTTTCTGGCGCAGTGAAGACTCGTTAAATGTGTCACTTCTTTTTTATTTATGTCTTCAGGCCCCTGCTGTCCACCTCGGGAAAAGGTTTGTTCCTGCAGAGCTTTTTGTAGACACGCCCCTACAGTACAACTGGCCCCACACTTTCTATTTTCTCCCCTTGTGCACTTTCAGGCACAAGATGAGCTCAGCTGAAGCATGAGTAACCTTCTAGCTTGCTACCTGTTCAGCTTCAACCCTCAAGCTACGTCCGTTTTACCTTGACGGCCAAAATCTGAATGCAGGCGTTGTTTCTGCGCCAAACCAAAAGTGTGCCTTTTGTCTCCGAGGGACGTTCATTCTGTGTTATGGTCGTCTTTTCCAGAGACGGTGAGGACAAATACACATCTGTGCTGCAAGAGGGACTCCACACAACCCTACAGAGCTTTTTGTATACATGCCCCTAGAGTACAACTGGCCCCAACTTTTGCGTGTGCTGTCTCGAAGAAATTTGACACACAAACACTCCTACCTGGTGCGAGACCCTTCCCCAACAATTTGATAGTTGTACGAGCGAGCGGCAGCTCTTTGAAGTCTTGCTCGCGCTCTGGTGAGCCTTCAAACGACCAGCCGCTCCGCCGAGCGCGCGCCGCACGAGATGAATGAATTAAATTAATCTCGCGCGCATAGCGAACGTTCCTTTTAACCGAGGGAGCGCTTCAGAACAAAAAAGCAAAGTGTGGTAGCAAATGATGAAGCGGTGAGCAATATCGAAAAACGTTTAAAATTTCATCGCTCCAGCTCGTCTAGAACTCGTTATATTCGCGAAAACGGGTTTTGGGACTCTGCTCGGACATCACCGACCACAAACTTTTGCTCATAACTTTATTAGCTACATCGATGAGACGCGCATCGAATGTTCCTCGGAACATAATCACACTCCCCTGGTTAAAATAAATGTCCTAGCTAGCCTATGGTCTTCTTTTTCGCTGAAAAAAGAACTGGAAAAACAGCCGAAATCATTCCAGTACTGAGTGGTCTTATTAGGTCGAATAAACAAGTTTCGCGTGTGCTGTCTCGAAGAAATTTGACACACAAACACTGCTACCTGGTACGAGACCCTTCCCCAACAACTTGATAGTTGTACCTATAATTGTTTTCTAATTACGAGCGGGCGGCAGCTCTTTGAAGAATATCAATCCACTCGTGCTCGGGAGACCGTCCCTGTTGATCGAAAAGTCTCGATTGAGATGAGCTGACACGGTTTCACTGCACGCACATTTTCCTATGATGTTGTTTTCACGACCACAATCGATGAATGCACTCCAGCGGTCTTGAATATTCACGGGTGAACGATTGAACTTGGTCGGGGTTTTGAATCTCCAAGCAGAGTCCCCAAAACCTGTTTTCGCGAATATAACGAGTTCTAGACGAGCTGGAGCGATGAAAATTTAACCGTGCGTCTAAATTCAGAGCGCGATCATTCGCTGCGAATTAGAACCTTCCAACTATCGTAGTTTTCTTTATACAAGCGGAAATGCCAAATCAGAACACCACAGAATGAAGCCTTACGCATACTTTTCTACGGAACGCGTGCTCACGTTTGACACCAACATCGCGTCTCGGAAACGAAAATTCAGCCTCGGAGGTCCGAACACAGGCTCGGAAAGTACAATTGGCCGCCATGACCATGCCCACGGTAAAAGCGTCGTAGCATCGCGAAACCTTTTATTACACACGTTCAAAGTGGTGTCCGTAGAGTCTAGAAAGACCAAGGAACACATCGGTGCTAGCGGTGACGAGATACGACGAGTATTAATGAAGCGAGATCGAAGAAAGGATCGGTGCCTAAAGTGAGGAAAGCGAATGGCTGGCTTCGATGTGAAAAGTTTCAAACGCCGTTTATTTCGCGAAACTCGCATCACACAAGAAAAGAAATCGGTCTCTGTCCAGTCCAGGGGCGGCTGGGAACAAGTGTCCCCCATTTGATATCGTAAATTCAAGGTCGTAATATAGATTTCAGAAATTCAATATTTTCAATGGTAAAACAAAAGGCACCAGGTGGCGGGATTTACCGACCGGTCGGAATTGCTCAGCCGCACTCATGGATCCATTCATTCGAAACGGGTCATCTATCTATTCATTCATAAAAAATTTTATTCCTGGCCGTGTTTTAAAATTAACGAAATCATACTGCGAGGTAAAGCTTCTGTACACCTGGCGTTTTGAAACCTGCCTGCGTCCAGCGTTCTTTCATTTCTGCTGTCACGTGACACGATCCGCCCGAGTAACTCGGGTTTATTAGGGTGAGATTTGAAACACAGCCCTGGTTTAATAAAACCAAACTTAGAATTACGGGAATCGTCTTATTTTTGAAAACGATGTCGTCGAGACCCGTGTTCGACAACAAGTTTAAATTATTTAGGTCAAG